CATTAGGAACTTAATGGCCTAGGGCAATTATCATGTCGTCGTGCTGAGTTAATCGATGTTTTGGGACAAGCCGATTTCGGGGACGAAATCTAATTAAGAGGGGGAGAGCTGTAACATCCCGAACATCGTATAAATTTTTTCCAAGTAGCGGACATATATTGCACGTTTTGAGACTGGAAAAAAATCGAGAAGTTATCCTATACGAGGTAGGATCAACGAAATCACTTAAAATTTTTTTTCCAAGTAGCGGACATATATTGCACGTTTTGAGACTGGGAAAAAAATCGAGAAGTTATCCTATACGAGGTAGGATCAACGAAATCACTTAAAAACTCCCCAAACAGCAAAAAAGTGCAACTTAGAATCGAACCCCTGACCTATTGGTCAGTAAGGAAGGGTTCAGAAACATAACCAGTTAGACTATGCTGGTTTTAGTGATACAAAAGGAGCCGAGTCATTAATGAGCTAATGACGTCGGCATTGCACCAGCAGCTAGCTTGTTTATGGAGCCGGTTTTGGAACTTGAGTTTCTTCCTTTCAAAGCTACTGCTCCTTAGAAGGCCGCCCCAGGCCTTTACTCCATCTGCTGGAAAGTGAATGAAGAGGTAAGAGCATGAATCAAAGAGCTCTATTATACCGGTAAGCTAGCTCTCCATTTTTGCCTTCGTACAAACACCAAGAGGAGAAAAGAAAAGAAATAATATGAAACCAAAGCCTAGCATAGTCTCTGTATTCACAGCAAAGGTTTAGAACCTATACAAACCTGTTTACAAGCCCAAAATCGCAAAACCAACTCACCAAATATCCTTTACCGAAATATTTGCCGTAACCTTTTCGTCAACCAAACCAGTGCCACTACAGGCAGCATCAGCTTCGAAGCTTGATACCGCTACAAAGAGCAAGTCACCACGAGCATCACAGAGTTTACGGAATTGAATTCCGAGCTCAGACGAGGGAGAAATAAGGCCGGGAAGTTGGTACTTGAGGTAAGGGAATTTCCAGCTTTCTGCAGATTTTGGACAGCAGAAAATTAAGAACTAATCCCTAATTTCGTACTAACGATGATCAGCTCGCAGTTTCTTCGTTTGACGTCCAAACGACGAACCGTTTTCGCCTACAGGACCGTAGAAACAAGGAGAATTTTTAGGAGCCAATCTCTGGAATTTTAGAACTTAATTCCCGACTTGGAATCAGCTAAATTAAGGTGTGTGGGGATTAAGAGGACCTTAATTATTGCATCGATTATTTATGCTTGATTTGCATATTTGGATGGATGGATTACAGTGGGTGATAACTTATTTGTTGATATGATGATTTGGTGATTATTCTTGGTTGTTATGAATTGTACGGTGTAAATATCGGTATTTGACAAGTTTCACCGTGAAAATGGATAGTTGGGTTTATTGAGTTTAAAACTGATATAAGATATTTCTGTTTGTCTAAAATGATGTTGGGGCAGATTGAGCAGAAGATTTCACTTGAAAATGGGTTGCGGATTAAAAACTGCATAACGGTGAATTTTACGAAAAGCTCGGTAAAAACGTATTTTATTTATCTTTAAGATTTGGATCACTTTAAAATGGCCAGTATGGATTATTAACTGGGTTGTGGTCTGGAAAGGGTAAATTAGACCGTTGGTGGAGTTTTTATCTTTAAAATGGTAAAAACGAGCTTAATACGAGATTTGCGGTAAAGACCGAGTTTAATATTATTTTCAATGTTTCGAGCTGTTGAAAAATATAAAAACTGGACAGACCTGTTTTAGGATGATAAATGAAGGTTCTTGTATTTTTGGGAGATTTTCGGAGTTACCGTTTTGTGAGAATTTAAATTATTGTAAAATAATGGTTAATACGAAAATTCTGAGATTTTATTCTCTAAATGGCTGTTTATGATCAGAACTGGAGTAAATGGTATTTGGTGTCAATAAAATAATTTATATGGATTTTATGAGGATTTTAACGAAGGAAAATGAATTAAAAGTATTTTCATCGCAAACCGGTTATTCATGATTATTTTGAACCGAGGTTATTATATGAAGTTGTGTGATGAATTTTGGATGAGGAATTATTAACTAGAACTGTTGAGTATTGTTACCGAAGGATGATGATGATTTATGTGATTCGAGATTGGATGATGGATTGGATTTCGAGAATGTCGAGTTGAAAACCAACATGAAATAAGTATGGATTGGGAATCAGTGGGATGGCATTGATTCCTGGATTGATTGAGATGATGATGAGTTGATGAGATGAGAAACATGAGGTCCATTTGGATTGGGAACTCAACGGGAATGCATTGATTCCTGAATTGGTTTGATGAAATGTTTGACGTGAGATATGCATGGACCAGTTAATCAGTGGGACTGCACTGATTCTGGATCGATTATGCATGGACCGGTTAATCAGTGGGACTGCATTGATTCCGGATCGTTTGTGATGGATGAGAGAAATGCAATTGTTTGATTCGTGATCATATTAATTCACATAGACGTAGAAAGGGCCTGCACTTTTACCCCCAGATGATTATGGGTTTGGGTAGATCTAGCTCGCATTTGCGCGTATGGTGGTTGCATGAGCACCACGGATGATGATTTGCTCGAGCGGGGGTAAGTGTATGGTGACCTTGGCGCCATTGATAATTAATGGGAATTTTCATATCATGCATTGATTATGTGTTCGTGAAATTATGTGATTATCTTATTTGGGATAAATTGATTTGGTGATGATGAGTTGGTGGATTCTATATGATGATTTAAGATGCATCTTGAGTACTAAATTATGATTGTTTGATTAGTTGATTGTGGTCCCAAAATTAGGTCGTGGGAAAGATCCACACACACAGCTTAGTTGCTGACCCACGTCTTTTTCAGGCTCGCAGGTGCAACTAGGATCGGACTACTGAGGCTGCCTTATCCTTCTGTACTACCATCATGAGGTAGTTTGGAACACTGTTCTGTCATGGTCACCTAGGATTTTTGCTTTGAGTGTTTGAATAATAAACCCACATTTTGTAAAAATTCAATAAGTGGGTTGGGATTCGAATAATGAGTTTGTATGATAACGGTTTATGTTTGTGTTTAATTATCGGATATGATGTTTGAGATAATTGAGTTCAACCAGTAACACCGATGATTTGGCTGCGCGGTTGAACCACGAGTTCAACCATAGAGATTATGGGTGGGGTGTTACAGATAATATTAGTTGTACAATATGATTTTGGTTAATTTTACTGTCTTTAAGCTAATAGATACTTATTGTAAATTGTAGATATGGGTAAATTCAAGAAGTTTCATCTTACTATTCGGTGGAATGGAAGGGTGACAAACTCTGACATAGACATTGATTATGAGGACGGCGAATCCATTATGCTGAAAATTGATTCCCGATTCAATTTTCAAGAACTCTGTGATATTTGTGCAGACAGGGTTTGTACGAGCGGACAGACGAGACTTGGCAAAATTACTTACCGGTATCCAGACATGAGTACTGGCGGGGTCGTGTTCCAAGAAGTTGTCATAAACGATGATGACGCGGTTACGATGATGTTACAGTTCCTAAGCGATAACCAAGTCCGGCTTGCAGAGGTGTATGTTGAGACCGAGGCGGTCGGTGAATCTCATTCTCACCAGTATTCTTATGATGATGGTTTTGCAGGAGGGTACGGATGGGGTGGTAGTTCGAGCAACTACGAAGGTGGTGGTTATACAGGAGGTTACGGGGAGGGTGGTGGTTCAATCAACTACTGTGGAGGTAGTAGTTCAGGATGGGTGTCATCGGAAGAATACTCGCAACCTCCTCAACTAGCCCCATTTGTTGAGGCTGATGGTGTTCAATGGCCTGCTTGGGGGCCAGAGTGGTCTGAAATCGAGAATACCATTCGATCAGGTCGTACTTCACATGAGCGAGAAGACAATGTTGGTGATCGTGGTCATGTTGATCCTTCTGGCCCGAGCTATCCATTCGAGTCGAGTGACGAGGATACTGAGGAAGATTTGAGATCAGTTAGCGAGGAGGAGGAAGATACTGATATAACGAGGATGAGGCGGCATTTCGTGAGGCACCCACGCCATATTACACACAGGTTCCAACTCAATTTTTACATAATCAGAATGATCCCCCCGACTTTGTCCCTATGCCATTGTACAATCCGACGGCCAATTTGGAGGTGGGTATGGCGTTCACATCGAAAGACGCGGTGCAGGATGCTTTTACAGAAGAGGCGTTGAGGCGCAATTTCGAGTGGAAGTTAAAATATTCTGACAGTAAACAACTACATGTCATATGCAAGCATGATGCAGAGGGTTGTGCGTGGCAACTGTGGGCTGCAAATATGAAGAGAAAGGGTGCTTGGATGATTCGCAAAGCTGAGACGATCCACACATGCTCCTCTTCTATACTTTCCCAAGATCACAGGCAATTAAAAACAAAGAAAGTTGGGAGAACTATTAAGCACCTTATAGAAGCACAACCAGATATTAAGGTGAAAGCTATCATGGCAGAGGTGAAGGATCGACATTCTTACACGATACGGCCACGGTGAACGCGCCAGCGACGCGGATCGCTGACGCAAACAAACACGGGGTATTCACCGTGTTTGTTTAACGGGGGTGAATACCCCGCGTTGGTACACGTCAGCGATCCGCGTCTATTCACCGTGGATCACTAAAATGGTCTTTCGTTCACCGTTTTTTATTAAAACGGTGATTCATTCACCGTGACCATTTAAAACGGTGATGTCTTCACCGTTTTTAACTAAGACGGTGAATACGTCACCGTTTTTTTTTAAGACGGTGAAATATTCACCGCCTTTGACAAACGTTAAGACGGTGAATACATCACTGTTTTTTTTAAGACGGTGAAATATTCACCGCCTTTGACAAACGCGGTGATATTATTCACTGCGTTTGTCAAAAACGGTGATGCTCAAACATGTGTACTTTTGGAAAAAATTTTATAACTTATGTATTTTGGGAATTTTTTTTAACAACTAGTGTTCTTTGGGATTTTTTCCTCTAACAACGACGGTTCCGTTATAGCTTCTAGTATACAAGATGTTCCTCCTGCTGCTGACAACTGGACAATATAATTAATATAATTTAAGTATTTAACAAACCCCACATCAATATAAGTTATTCCTTTGTGTGGTTAAATAAAAAGAAGTCCACTTACAGAAAGGTTAGGCTCAAAGTTTGAAACAAATTCTTTGGAACAAGACCACAAGGTAGATAGGTAATTGGTAAAGCCTATCATAGAGATTCTATTCTACTTTGGTAATCCTAAAATAACTTAAATAGAAGATGGGAGCCAGAAAATAGGGGACAAAAAGGCTTTACCTTACAGGCAATGGAGCAGTAGCGATTAGGCAAATCCTGTAGGTATCTTCGACAAACGACACAAGCTGCTCCAAATTTGGCCTTAGTTGATGGCTTTGCATCTTTTTGCACCGGCCGAGGATGCAAATGCACCGCCTTCTCCCCGTTTATCTTGTACGTCTGTTCCCCATTTCCAATTTCATCAAACCCTGTGCTCGTTGTCTCCACAAATCAAGGGACAAAGCCGAAAAGGGGGGAAATTGGACTAATCTCTCCACACAACTTACCAACAAGAAGTCAAACCCACCAATCCGCCATTGATTCGGAGGGTAAAGGAGGAAATCAATCAATGATGTATTGTACCTGGATTCGAGAGCAGTCGAAGTGCTTCTGAATGTCGAGCAGGCGAACGACGTCCTGATAACGTACTTGCAAATCTGGAGGTGGCGGTGGAAGCGACAATGGGATTTCAGACAATGCCTGCAGAATCCTACCTGATCCCCCCAAAACCAGGAAAAAAAAACCCATCATCAAATCGATTATTGGAAAGAAACCCATTATCCTGATGTCATGAACCAGTTGATCCCAATAACTCGAGTTGTTGGGAGAAGGTTACGCTGGATCTTATACCACTCTCTAACACGCCCCCTCAAACGAAAGCCAACCCACGGGCTTGAAGTTTGCACAGGCCCACCATACCATGTGCTTGAAAGACAACAGTTAATATTGGGGGTCGTGGAGATTCGAACACATAACCTTTTGGTTCTAGGCTCTGATACCATGTCATGAACCAGTTGATCCCAATAACTCGAGTTGTTGGGAGAAGGTTACGCTGGATCTTATACCACTCTCTAACATGTGAAAACTCTTTGTAATGCAATCTGACAGTTTGATTTAGAATCAGAAACGTAACTAAGTACAGAGATTAGGGCCACTAATTCAGGCTCCCACTATCCTGAAAAATAGCTAACAAACTACCCACTAACACACTAGCTGCAGAATACCTTGCAGCCTAAGACACGAAAGAAACCCTCCAACTGACTCAATGACTCACAGACTAAAACGACACAGTAATGCTAAAACCAAAACGACACAGCAACACTTAAGTTTATTCAAACTCCAACTCGCGCCAAATCTCCAGTCTTCAGTTCATCATCTTCTAACATCCTCCCCTGAACTGAAGACTCTTCCTGATCTTCAGTTCCTCACTCCTTTGCTCCTGCGAATACTTCAGCATCACATATTCCAAGTTTGCTTCTCAAGACTTCGAAAGTTTCCAACTTCAGTGGCTTGGTCATAATATCTGCAACCTGCTCATGCGTTCCACAGTGCTCCAGCTCAATCACTCCTTCCTTAGCTAAATCTCTTAGGAAATGAAAGCGCACATCAATGTGCTTACTTCGTCCATGAAGCACAGGATTCTTGGACAACTTTATTGCCGAGCAATTGTCACATAAAATCTTAGTGCTCCCTCTCACACTGCCACTCCAACCAATCATCTCCAGAATCCTCCTTAGCCACACACATTGAGTAGAGCAGAATGATGCTGCCACAAATTCTGCTTTTGTTGTGGATAGTGTGACAATAGGCTGTTTTTTCGAAGCCCACGAAACCACTCCATCAGCTAGGAAGAAGGTATAGCCACTTGTGCTCTTTCTGTCATCCAAATCCCCTGCATAGTCACTGTCAGTATATCCCACCAGTGGCTCTTCTTCCTTCATTGCCTTGTACCAAATACCATAGGCCATAGTTCCCTTGAGATATCTCAATACCCTTTTTGCAGCAAGCATATGTTGTCGCATTGGTGCTTCCATGAACCTGCTAAGAAGACAAACAACATACATAATGTCTGGTCTGGTGACTGTTACATACAACAGACTTCCTATAAGCTGTTTGTACTCAGTAGAGTTCACTGAGATTCCATCCCCAGCTTTGGTAAATTTCACTCCAGGAGAGATGGGATTTTTCACAAAGTTGCAGCTTGCCAACTGAAACTTCTCAAGCATATCCCTTATGTACTTCTTTTGGCAGATAAATACTCCAGCAGCACTCTGATGCACCTCCACTCCCAAGAAATATTTCATCTTCCCCAAGTCAGACATTTCAAACTCAGCCTCCATTGACCTTTTAAACTCAGCTATGCACTTAGGATCAGTACTTGTGTATAGCAAGTCATCAACATAGAGACTAACAATCAGAATACCTGCATCAGATTTCCTTATGAACAATGTGTGTTCATAACTGCACCTTTCAAAACCAGACTTGAGGAAGTAAGACTCAATTCTACTGTACCAAGCCCTGGGGGCCTGTTTCAGACCATACAGAGCCTTGTGAAGTCTATAAACCTTGCTTTCCTCCCTGGGTTGCTCAACATAGACTTCCTCAGTGAGCTCACCATTGAGGAATGCACTCTTCACATCAAGCTGGTATATAGGAAGAGCATGCTGAGCAGCAAAGGCTAAGATGGTTCTAATTGTATCCCACCTGGCTACTGGGGCAAAGACCTCAGTATAGTCAATGCCAGGCTGCTGAGAATACCCTTTAGCAACCAATCTAGCCTTGCTTTTGTCCACAGAATCATCTTCTTTCAACTTAGTCTTATAGACCCACTTGATACCAATAGGAGTAATGTGTGGGGGTCTATCAGTCAGAGTCCATGTCTTGTTCCTCTCAATAGCATTGAACTCCTGATTCATGGCTTCATTCCACCTTGATTCCAAAGCTGCTTCTTCATATGTTTGAGGGTCATTAGATACTGCCATCATAGCCTGCCAGTCTGTGTCTGCAAAACCACAATCATACACAGACAAGTGACTTGGTGGTTTTCTTACTCGAGGGCCCAGGTCCCCACTTGGCAGGCCTAACCCACTAGTATTGATGTCATTAGTGTCTTCATCAGACTCAGTCCCTGTAGTTGCAGCCATAGGAGTTGTTGGACTAGGTGGTTGTTCATCAGCTGAAGTATCTGTGAGGGCAGGTTCAAATTCTGAGTCTGAGTCCTCCAACAGATCATCACTTCCTTCCCACAGCAGCTGAGTTTGATCAGATGAAGCCTCTGAATCCCAGTTCCAGCCCTTGCTTTCATCAAAAACAACATCCCTACTTATGACAACCTTCTTGGTAGTAGGATTGTACAGCCTGTAGGCTTTAGATTCAGTGGAAACCCCCAGAAAATAACATTGACTACTCTTATCCTCCAGCTTTCTTCTCTGCTGGTCAGGAACATGAACATGGGCTACACAGCCAAAGATCCTGAAGTGTGACACAGAAGGTGGTTTTCCAGTCCATAGTTCTTGGGGAGTTTTGCCTTGATTGGCCACAGTTGGACTTCTGTTGTGAATGTGAGTTGCCCAAGTTACTGCTTCAGGCCAGAATGTTGAAGGAACTTTTGTATCTCTTAACATACACCTCACCATGTTCATAATTGTCCTATTCTTCCTCTCAGCTACCCCATTCTGTTGGGGAGTGAGAGCAGCAGTCAGTTGCCTTTGAATACCAGTTTCCTCACACAACCCTTGGAATTCATTTAGCATGAATTCTCCCCCCCTGTCTGTTCTAAGACACACTATAGGTAAACCTGTTTCCTTCTCCAGCTGAACTTTAAACTTCTTAAACAGGCTCAAAGTTTCTGACTTAGCTGTCAAGAAATAGACCCAAAGTTTCCTGCTATAATCATCAGTCAAAGTGAATATGTATCTCTTACCCCCATTTGACACTGGTGTAAGAGGACCACAGAGATCTGCATGAAGGAGTTGCAGCCTTTGTGAGGCCCTCCAAGGACTCTTCTTAGGAAAAGGTTGCCTGGTTTGCTTGCCCACCAAACATGTAGAGCATACTCCAGTCTCTCCATTCAGCTGAGGAAGACCTGACACCAGTCCTTTCTTACTTAGCATCTGCAAGCTTTGGTTGTTGAGATGACCAAACCTCCTATGCCACAGTGACAAAGGAGAGTTTCTTGAACCTGAGGTCTGTAAGCACTGATTGCTTGACTGATCAGACAGTGAATTGGCAATGGCATGCAGTACAAACATCTTGTTTGTTTTCATTTCCGTTTCAAACAACAACCCCTTTTCCTCATGAAAAATCTTACAGCTGCCATGCTTGATCAGAAAAGCAAGTCCCTTCTCCTGCCATTGGCCCATACTCAGAAGGTTTGACTTTAAAGCTGGGACATAAAACACATCTTGAATGGTGATTGGAAGCTGATTAACTGTAAGTTTCACTGTCCCCTTTCCTGCAACATCAAGTCTTGTGTTGTTGCCTAGCCTCACAGTACATGCTGCACTGGTATTAAGATCAGTAAACCATTTCTTGTTGCCAGTCATATGGTTGCTGCACCCTGAATCAAGAAACCACCAGTCAGCATTAACTTCTTCACAGACTTCCTCCACTGAAGCCATTAGCAGCATATCATCTTTAAGATCACCAAAAGACTTGTCCTGCACATAGCTGGTATAGTGTGCTTGATGATCCCTGTACCACTCAGGACACTCACTTCTGTAGTGACCTAATTTGTGGCACTTAAAACATTCAACTGAATCCTTGTTCCAGCCCCTACCACTCCTTCCTCTACCCCTGCTTGGATAGAAACCTCTTCCCTGACCTCGTCCTCCCCAACCACCATACTCATGAGAGGTTCTAAGGGCCTGCTCCTCATCAGAAGCCCCTCTTTTAGCAAACTTCTGTTCATGCACCACTAGTGAACTCTGCAAGCCATCAACAGTCAACTGATCAATATCATTGGACTCCTCAATAGAACATACCACATAATTGAACCTTTCTGTCAGAGTCCTCAAGATCTTTTCAACAATCTTTCCATCAGACATCTCCTCTCCACAGTTCCTCATATCATTAGCAACTGTCATGACTCGATTGAAATAAGCAGACACAGTTTCTCCATCCCTCATTTCCAGTACTTCAAATGTCCTCCTGAGAGCTTGCAATTGAGCCTTTTGGACCCTAGCACTACCCTGACATTTGAGTTTCATGGAGTCCCAGAGCTCCTTGGCAGTAGCTTTCTTGGTAATAGTTTTCAGAATAGCTTTATCAATAGAATTAAATAAATAATTCTTAGCTTTTAGATCCTTCAACCTCATGTCATCCAGAGACTTGGATTCTGCAGCAGACAGTGTAGCACCCACAGCAGGCTCCTGGAACCCTTCATGTACCACACTCCAATACTCTTTGGAGCGGAGGAGGTTCTCCATCAACATGCTCCAGTGCTCATAATCGCCATCAAACTTGGGAAGACCCACTTGTGCAAAGCTGGCATCACTCATGTTTCTGCTTCTGATTGCAGAAACCTCTCTAAAACTTTGAACTAATCACTCACCCGAGTTGAAGAACACCTCTCCAGTTCTCTCGTGTTTCCCAGACCCACACTGCAACTCAATAGCAGTTTCTCAGTCACTCAGTAGCTTGACAGCTTAAACTCACTCTCTCACGTTGGCTTGAAAGCACTTTCTTTTGGTTACAGCTTGCAAGAGCTCTGATACCAAATGTGAAAACTCTTTGTAATGCAATCTGACAGTTTGATTTAGAATCAGAAACGTAACTAAGTACAGAGATTAGGGCCACTAATTCAGGCTCCCACTATCCTGAAAAATAGCTAACAAACTACCCACTAACACACTAGCTGCAGAATACCTTGCAGCCTAAGACACGAAAGAAACCCTCCAACTGACTCAATGACTCACAGACTAAAACGACACAGTAATGCTAAAACCAAAACGACACAACAACACTTAAGTTTATTCAAACTCCAACTCGCGCCAAATCTCCAGTCTTCAGTTCATCATCTTCTAACACCTGAATGCCGGAAAGAAAACAGAGCCTCTGAAATTTTTGAAAATTCGTGAGGTTTTCGAGTACCATTTTCTTGCGGCGTGTGTAATCGAAGCTTGGCAGAGTGGAGGCAGAGAGAATTTGTTAGGGGATGTGGAAGATCACAGAAGGAAATAATGGTAGTGGAAGGATGTTAATTTAGTAGGGGGGAAATGAAGAGAAAAAGAAAACGAAAATCTTGATACACGGAGAGAGAAGGGGAAAGAAAGAAAGGATTATTGTTCTTCTAAAAGGATTATTGTTCTTCTAATTAGCTATAAATTCGGAATATACATAAATTGACTTAATACGTGGCATGTTTTAATTGGGGCGGTGCAATACACCCGTCCCATTGAAGATTTTCTCTAAGTAAGGGAAGACGGCGGGAACCGGGGGATGCATAATTCACCCATCTCCTCTCTTTTTTTTCCCACTACTTGTTGTTCATTTGTGGAGGAAAATAATTTTAGTTATTTTGAAGTTTTGATTCTAAATGAATGATTCTTTGAATTCATGTATTCCGGAGAGTTCGTCATTTTTTTTGTCTCAAAATTTTATTCGATACATGCATTTGAGGTGGACCTTCAAATCTCATATCACCAACAATCACTCATTTTAAATCTCAACAAAAAGGTGAGATTCTTCTTTTGAGATTGGGGGCTTTAGTTTGTTCCACTTTTAGCTCATGAAGTGATTTTTTTTTTCTTTAAGAATTTTAAATGGCTACAAACAAACAAGACATTCTACCAATCATCTAATTCTTACAATCTTTGTATTTAGTATTTACAATAGATGTATTTATCAAATACACATATTTGAAGAATCTCAACTTCCAAACGATCCCTAAGTAATGAGAAGTATACCGCTAGATAATTGACCTTATTAAATCATGTTCACCAAACAGGAAGAAGAAAGAAAGATGTGGAGGTTGTTAAAAGATAAATCTAGTTTCGCCTGATTTTCTTCCTTTTTTTTCTAAACCTAATGAAAAATTTTGGTCCTTCTCCATGATAGCGATTTATTAGGGATTATGTGTTTTCTACTTTTCTTCGGTTGAAATTCTGCAAGATTTTACTTCCAATTAAAATTTCAATAAAATCTATTTTTATGGGTAAAAAAAGTCTTAAGTGCATTGGATATTTCATGCTAATGTTTTTAAAAATATGATATTGTGGCATGAAAAAATATCACGATGGCAACATTTATCAGAAAAATAATATGTATGGGTTTGGGCTTCAAAGGGGTAGTCCTTTGTTGTTGGATCTTTATTTTGGTTTTCGTTTTCGTTTTCGATTGGGGTTGCTCCAACCCTTTGGTTTCCCTCCCTCCTAGTCCTCGGTCCTGGCCTGCTATCTCCAATTTTCCTCCGCCCATGTCAGCTCACAGCGATTTGGCTTCATCCATGTGACCATGTCCACTGTCACGCAATCTCCTATTGAAATTCACTGTGATGAGTCGTCTTCGAATGATTTACAGAGGACAATTTATGGTATGCTATGCTTCTTCGACTGTGGCTGTTGCGTGAGGGTACTTGGATGCTTTTGTTTAGGCCGAAGTTTTGGCTCCCCTTCGCCAAGACGGTTTTATGCTATTTTGTTCCTTCATGTTGTATATTTCTGGCAGGAAATGCCCTTCTCCTTGTTTGGGTTTTTGGGGCTTTTTGTCCCTATTTGTATTCTCCAGCTATGCAATCGCTATTTCAAATTGCAGTATAAGCATCTCTTTTGGTAAGAAAAGTGAAAATCATGACCAGAGTTAGAAGGAAATTATTGTGTTTTTGTTTCAAATAATTATGAATCAGAAATTATATTTTCTTAATATTATTGTTTATTGATTTCTGAAGGTGACGTGACATGTTGAATAATATCAAAGTTGTTGATCGTTCAAGTTGACGGTCAATCCACGGATCGTACCAAATTGGTCCAATTAATATTAGATGTTGAATATAATAGAGATATTAGAAAATTCCAAATAAAAAATCTATTGATTTAAAATCCACTCGAAAATTAACCTTATTTATTAAAAAATGTCCACATGTCCTATCTATCATCAATGACTGAAATGCACATGGCATTCTAGATAAATAGAAAAGCCTCTGAAGAAGGAATTGCTCCTTTCCAAACATCCTCCATCACTTGCAAAGTCATTATGGAACTGTCAATTTAACTAAAACATCTGTTTCTGAGTTATAATACCGAGTAATCAACTAATTATACTCTTTTAGTTTCTGACAAGAGGCAACTTAGTGGGTCTCAGTTTCCACTGATTATTCTGCTCTTTTAGTTTGTGTTTGGTACTTGTCTCAGCCTCTCAGGTCTTGACAATGGACATTGCAGCCATGGTTAACCCGATAATAGATTCTATCACTGTCACACATACCTGCTGTCATTACATGAACCAAAACAACCAAACAGTGCAGAAATCATCAGTTTATACCATATACTCGTCATTGTATATACTTTTGTATACGTAATACATACAAAACAATCAGAAGCCTGTGAGTTGCTTCTGAACAACAGCCACACTAATACGTACAGAAACCTTCAGTGCAGCAGCCTATTCTCAGATCAATTCCAACAAAAACAATGGAATCCACCTGTTTATGTCTCCACCCAATTCACTTGAGAAAAATGGATGAACTTCATCATGGCATTTTAGCTAGCTAGCTAGCTACAAGCTTCTCTGCCAATTTCCACACACTAACCACGCCACTTGCATCCCCTGTGAAGAACAATCCCTCCTGACCTGCCCGGATTGCTCTCACTTCTTTCTCAGCATATATCCTCCCTCTCTCTTTCAACGATGGGAGTTCGTACAAACCCACAGAATTGTCATTCCATGAGCAAAACAGGATTGGTTTTCCATCTGAATCATTCACGCCACCAAGAGCAAGTGCAGCATGTTCCTCTTCATGTGTGTACAGGAGGATTATCTCGTCACCGCCTTCTTCAGTTCGACCCCAGAACTTCACCTTCTTATCCAGTGAGCAAGACACTAAGTACTGATCCCAACAGATCACAGACGTTACATCGTCATCGTGTGCCTTCAGTGTCTGAATGCACTCACCAGTGTTCAAATCCCACTCCTTGATCATCCCATCCGTGGAACCAGAGTACAATCTATGCAATTCTCCATTTATGCTAGCTCTCAGGCAAGTAACAGCACTGGCATGGCCTCTCAGGGGAATAGCATGCTGGAATCGATTAGCTAGCTGATGGTCAGTGAAGCCTTTCCAAACCGAAATTCCACCATCTTCAGCTCCTGCATATAAGGCATCCAACCCAACTTCCAAGGCGTTCACTTGACCACTTGGACCAGTGAGGTCGTAGTAAACCTCTGACTTAAAGTTCCATGCTTTGACACCATTAGGGAAACCAACAAAGACCCATTCCTCATCGCTTATCAGACACCCAATCTGATCACTAACATTCACAGCTCCAGAAATCAGACCACTATGGCAATCCCAAGCACATACCTTCCCATCACTGCTAGCTGTGTAGAGCTTATCAGACCCCGAAGGAAGCCCGATACCTGAAACAGGCTTCCCAACATGCCCTTCTAGTCTTGCTAACAACGAAAATCCATCACCACGGGACCAAGAATGTAGGAATTGACAGCTATCCCCTCTCCCACAACTTCCAGACATCCATTCTTGGCAACAAGCCTTGTCTTCACTTCTTTCAACAGTAGTGGTGGTGACTAGCAGAGAAGCTTCTGGTTTCTGAGCACTCTCAATTTTTTGGCAGTTATTTCGGCTCTTCTGTGAGACAGCAGCAGATGTTACCTGAGTGGATTTGGATCTTTTGACAGCTCTATCTTCTTCTGGAGGTGAGAGGGTCTTCCTTCTCAGGCCACCGGGTAAAGCTTGGGATTGTGTTCGAGGCGCGCGGTACACATAAGAAGCACGCAGATCCGCAGTAGCCAGATCTCCGTGCACGAACCTACAAGGGTTTCTATTACACCTCCCCTGCTTCCAGTAGATACAAACTTTGCGACTCTTCATATGCATTGCTCCTACCCCATCTCGTGCACTATGGATCGCCATTTCTTAAAAACTGAAAAAATAAGATACTGTAAGCCCGCTGTAGCCTAAGGGGAAAAAACCCTAATTGTTGAAATCCGGACCGATTGCGATAGAAATCCCCCTTTTCCCCGCCATGAATTGAAAAAATAACGACAATGCAGAGAGAATAAACGAACCTGAAGCAAAACCCAGATTCCGATCCGGCTTCTGAAACCCTAGCGATCGGGAAACAACAACGCGTTGCTGAAACTTCGAGCAGTCAGAGATCTTTCACGGAGCGCAGAAGTAGGAGAAGACAGGTTCGGACTTGAGGCTGAAAATGGGTATGGAAACCCTAAGATTTGCGGAGAGAAATGGTGAGACGAGTGAAGGGAGATTGAGAAGGGAAAACGGGAAGTGGAAGCAGAGAAGAAGAAAGTTATTTTTCCGTTGGGTTGAAGGAAATGAGGCTTCCCGCAAGTGCTAATGTCTATTTGTAGTATCGATCGGAAGGTCGGTCGGTTTGCTGCCGGAAGCGTTGATTTGCCGCAAAGCCGACAACGGTCGAGTTGAGTTTGAGTCTGAGAAGAGAATTGGCGCTAAAATTTCCAATGGAAACCGCGCTTTATTCTATAGGCTGCTTTTATTGGGCTTAGGGTTCTCCCCCTTGGGCCTGGTCATTTCATTTTGCTTTTTGGGCTGGGGTTTCACCTCGATTAATTGACTTTGCTCAGCCTGGCCCGTATGTTTCTCTAATTGAGTTCTTCTAACTTCCAACGTTGTCGTGATCGTGTGGATACTTCATCTATCACCACTCCCTACATAAATTTGTGTGATTTTGCAATCCAAACCCTCATCACTCAATAGTTTTATTATTAAATAAATACATTTTTACCAACAAATCTACTAATTATATTTATCAATACTTATTTGTTGTTTATTGAATCCTAAGATTTTTTATTTTGATTTTTTGGTGAGATATGCTAATGTTGATCATCATTCAAAAGACACGAAGTCATTACGCATTGCACAGTACTAAGTTCACATTCATGTTAACCGGAAAAGAAAATAAAAAAGTACATAAACATAGTAAAAAAAGTAATTTGTGTACTTAATTCATATGTAATTTTGAACTTCGGGTTCCTATAAAAAATTGTAATTTTGAATAAGATAAAATATGTAAAAGAAGAAGCTAAAGACCAGGGAACGGAGTGTGATGTGCCCTTGTGGCGCTATACAGCGAACGAAGAGTTTTCTCTGAAAACTGCTTACGAGAGCCTCGACTTAGGCAAGTCATCCCATACACGTCCACCCAGTTTGGAAGAAGATTCGGAAAATTCCAGCTATGCAGCGAATCCGATCATTCTTCTGGTTGGTTGGTCATGGTAGACTCCTGACAAATGCTGAGAGACGAATGCGCCACTTGACTAATGTGGGAACCTGCCAGGTTTGCGGCGGGAATGATGAGTCAGTGATACACATCATGCGAGAGTGCCCATACGCGAGGGAGGTATGGTCCGCTTTCCTTGTTGATGAGCCAGATGAGAAGTTCTTCACTCCGAATAAGACGAGCTGGCTGATGCATTACCTTTCGGGGAGGAGTGCGAGTTTGGATCCATCCTTTTTTGCTGTTGTATATTGGCTTCTATGGAAGAACATGAACTCCTATGTGTTCGAGAAGAAACTGGTCGCGCCAATCCATCTCCAAGTGACCGCACGGAGACTACGACAACAGATTGAGGAGGCTTTGAAGATGGATGCTGAGGTCTTTGGGGGGGGGGGGGAAAGCTGGCGAGTGGAATTGGATTGGCTGGAATCAATGTAGTCAAAATCGCGATTTAAAACTTAAAAACTTACGATTTTACGTTTCTAGGTCACTAAAACGCTTCTACACAAAATCTCAGTTTTTATAACTTATGTAGTTAAAACTCCGCTTTGAAACTTTAAAACTTACGATTTTACGCTTCTAGATCACCAAAACGTTTCTACTTAGAAACTCGCTTTTGACTGTATTGGCTGGAATTGTCCCCAGCAGGGATGGAGCTGTGTTAATACGGACGGGTCGGTGGCATTGGCGTCTCATAGTTCGACGGCTGGAGGGGTTGTGCGAGATGATCAAGGCCACTTCCTGTGAGCCTTCGTGATGAACTTAGGCGGTGGATCGATCACCCGCGCCGAGCTAATGGGTATCCTCCAGGGTCTGCGGTGCGCTTGGGAGCTAGGTGTGCGGAAGATCATACTCCAAACGGACTCTCAAGCAGCGATTCAGATCATCGAGGCAGCCACCAATACCCACCCACATTACCATATAGTGTTGCAGGTGAGGAGAATGGTGCAACGCAACTGGGAGGTGCGGATCGAGCACATTTATAGAGAAGGCAACGTGGTGGCGGACTTCTTGGCTTCGACGGGACATGATTTACAGGTCGGGACTCATCCGATTCTGGTCCCCAATTAGCGGTTGCAGCACTGGCTGCTCTTTGATCTTGTAGGGAGTCAAACTCCCAGACTCATTCCCCATTAGTTGTTAGGGCGCTCTGTTGCCCGTTTCCTTACCCAAAAAAAAACTCAACATGAAAAGGTAGAAAAGGGTATCCGTTCCAGATTTGGTGATAGGGAAGCTTTAGTATTGTGCCTTGGCTTTAGAAACGCTAGGTTCGTCTCTATGAAAGTTGTCAAATCGGTTTATATCGTTTTGTCGGTTTGGCAATTGGAATGGTACGACCAGTGGTACAATCGGTTTGTGTCGATTTACGTTGATTTAATAAATTTTGTGAAAATCATTAACATTCAATAAATTTAATCATATACTAAACATATTTGAGGACAATTTACTTACAATTCAACAAATAACATCAACTTTTGACTTTTAAATTCATGAAATAAGTAAGAAATCCATTTTCTAATTAATTAAATTCACTAAAATGACATCACTTTGTTTAGAATTTGTAAGTTGATCATGTCAGTTATAATGATAGTGTTCACGCTAGTTTCATGACAAGCACCGATTGAACCGGGTTTAACAGGACGGCATGCCACCGAAATAGCAAGCATGCTCTACACCTTCGCCCCGAGATGTATGATTACTCTGTGCCTCAACTCTAGGTTTTGCCCATGGCTTGTCTCGAAATTTTGGAGGCTCGGTTTCAAAAACTAAATACAGGCCTTGAAATTTTGAAAATTCATGTAAATTATGTAAATCAGTTTTAGTATAAGCCTGAAACTGAACATATTAGTTCATAGTCTAATGAGCTGAGGCTCCAAATTTTCTGAGGTCCGAGTATCAAATTTTCTAGAAGTCAAAGAAAAACACAAAGCATGATCGGATCCATGCCTTAGCTCAAATCTGTTGCCCGTAAAATGAAATTTTGAGTCTTCGTCGCTCGCTTGTCGTTACACGCAGTAACATGAAAAAGTAAAAAATCATTTTCTCGTTCCCCTCTTCTCATCTCATTCTCAATCTATTTTTTAATCCCTAATTCTTCTCTATCCCCAAATCCCCTCGATTATACATTGTGATCAATTCCTAATCGAGACGCTCGAGAACCAGATTTTATTGGAATCTTGGTCATCATTAATGATGACATAACTCACGAGTCTATCAATTGTTTCCAAACTATCTGCAAACAGAATAACAAATGAGTAAATAGTGATAGCCAACATTATCATAACTCACAAGTACTAAAGTGTCTATGTGAAAGCAAACAATGAAAGGTTATCAACCTACTTGAAATCCGTATATCCTAGAAAACTTGGCTTTGCGCAACTGTCTGCAGGAATGTGTGCGGCGTCAGTTCAGCAATGTGATTATCGGAGGTGATGCAAAGGTTGTAACTGATAAATGCCGTAACAAGGATACTTCAGACTCGTAACTTCAACAGGGTGGCTCATTCCGTGGCCCGACGTGCTCTGTGTTTATCGCCCCGCTTTCAAAGGAGATTTGATTATGTAGCTTGGTACAATAGCAAATAGTTTCGTTGTAAACTTGGATTGGTTCTGTATCATCTTTTTTTGAGTGATCGTTTGGCAAACAAAACAAAAAAAAAACCTACCTGAAACCATTGAATTGAGCAACCAATTTTGAGCACACATAAGAACATCAACAATGTAGAGGTGGAGACGTCTGGGTCGATGAGTTATGAGCATACGAGTATAGATGGATATCCATGAGTCGGATATACCTAAACTCAAAGCCAAACCGTTGAACCGTACAACAAGTTTCAATCCAAACCCGACTCCTAATCCATCACCACTAATTTATTTTACCCACTTTGACTAGATTGGATATGATAGGATCCTAGTGGATCCGGGTTTTGTTCTCATCCCGTGCTGAGCAGAACAAACGCAACCAAAAACAGAGAAGAGGCCCTGCCCTGAAACGGCGTTGGACGGTACGAGTTCCTCTTCGCAGTTTTTCCCCCTCTAACCGCCATTTAGCAGTTGATGAAGGAGCGAAACGCCCTTATCTTCCGGTTACCACCTCTGCTGCAGAGTGTTTTCAGGGATATAAATTCTCCTTTCCTCTGCCTCTTCGATGGTTCTCAATCTCAATTTGAGCAGCTTCCGTATTAGTTTCTTCTCCTTCAGCCAGACATCCAAAGGGATCAAGCAAAGAGACTGCCCTTGCTCTGGCTTCCTTCTACATACTAACTAACCGGAGCTTCTGTTTTCCCCTTCCGAGGTTCGCCCATGGCTATAAATTTCCCTTTCTTGTAACCATTCTTCTTGTTCTAGATATTTAATTGGACCAGTGGCTGGATGAGGATGCGCGTTCTTTTGTGGGGGGTTTTAGCTGTTAGCTGTGAACGTTAGCCATTTCCACATTGTGATTGCTTTTCACTAATTGGTTGTCCTTGCATTGATTCCTTTGTGCAGAACAGACTCTCATTGTTCCAATAGGCAAACCACATCCTGGGGCTTCTGCATTCCCACTCTTTCTCAGTAGCCTTTTTGAGGTCGGAGTGATTGGTCTAACAATGGCTACGAATATGGTCTCGCGGGCCTCTTTCATTCAATCCAAACCCTCCCTCTCCTTCAAAACCGTGCACAACCATCATCTCCCTCAGGCCCTCTGTGCCAACAAGTGAAGTCCTTTTCTTCCTTTGCTTTCTTGTTTCTTCTTTGGCTACATTCAAATTTCTTGGCAGTTGTTGTTTATGGCATTTCTTTCTTTTTTGCTTTTGTAGATGTGGCTTTTATGGCCACCAAGGGAAATGGGTTGGCCATCAGATGTTCGGTGGCGGTCCCTAAAGCTGCTTCAAGTTTTGGGGATTCCAGAAGGAAGGGGACCAAAAGCCCTGTGGTTGTCATTGACAATTATGACAGTTTCACTTATAATCTCTGCCAGGTTTAACACTTTTTCTCTTTGGGTTGCTGAATTAAGATAATGAAACTTGCTGGTTTTCAGTTTGCTTGAGTTTTGGCCACTGATCTGTTTGTGGGTTGCGAGTTGATCTCTTCTTTAATCATTTAGATTGAATGAAAGCCTTGAATATTGGATAGTGTTTGTATGTGGGGGAAAGATTCTCAAAACTCATAAGAAACTTAGAGCCACTTGATCTGTGTAATAGCCATCTTTGGGTTAAATTGAAAGAAAATTCCTTTTCTTCACAAGGGCTCTGATTTGTCCAGTACCAATAGATGGTTAATGTGCTTTGGTTTGGAGAGCTGGGATGCAAATTCAATCTGTGGATATTCGTGCTGGGATGCAAACTCATATTCTTGCTCGTTCCTATTTCCCTGTACTTTTCTACACTGGGTATTTTACCTGTGCTAATCCCATGTAAACTGTCTTGTCCTAAAGTACATGGGAGAGCTGGGATGCGAATTCGAGGTTTACCGGAATGACGAGTTAACTGTGGAAGAGTTGAAAAGGTATCCATCTTATGTTCTAATATGATCAAATATCTTATGAGGTGTATATTTTATATGATTTTCGACAACATGTGTAACATTTTCTGGCTTTTAACAGGAAAAATCCTAGAGGAGTGCTGATATCCCCAGGACCAGGTCAGTCTGCTGCACAAGTGGAAAGGGCCAACTTTATACATTGTTACGAATACAACAAACTGAAAAGAGAAATTTTAAGTACTTCACTGATTTGCAATTCTCTCTGTAGGAGCCCCCAAGGATTCTGGAATATCTTTGCAGACAGTTTTGGAGCTTGGGCCAATCGTACCCTTGTTTGGTGTGTGTATGGGTTTACAGTGCATTGGCGAGGCCTTTGGTGGTGAGTATTCTTGAGCATTCTGAACTGCTGCTGCCACTGTTAGTCTGTTACTGTTATTTTCTTGGTGGTATAGTTGGTGAATGTAAATGTACTCTTCGTTTCATTCTATGCTTCATTAATCCGATAGTTTGTTATGTTTTCAGGGAAGATTGTGCGTTCTCCTCTTGGGGTTATGCATGGGAAAAGTTCACTGGTGTACTATGACGAGAAAGGCAAAGGCTTATTTACTGGGTTGCCAAAGTATGTTACTTTACCACTAAACACGTTCATACATTTGTTTGCTTGGTTCCTCACCCTGTTCTTTGGCAAGCTAACCTGCCGTTCTTTTTGGCATGTTGAGAACTTTTATGGATTTACTACATCTTGTCTGTATGTTGTAATCTCCTTCCTTGTACTATGAAAATGTTTATGGTTCTACATCAAACTTGACACCTATATGTATAACTATCAAAATATTGTTTGTCCAATGTGATGCAGGTTGTGTTACTTTCCAGTTTCTTCTCGACTATATGAACACTTAAGTATAGAACCGTTCTGTTGTGATGGCTTTCTACGATCTGTCGAAGAGATGCACTACCTTACATGTTTGTTTTCATGTGGATTTTCTGCAGCCCATTCAAAGCAGGTAGATATCACAGCCTAGTTATTGACAGGGATACGTTTCCGATTGATGAACTTGAGATCACAGCGTGGACCGAGGATGGTTTGATCATGGCTGCCCGTCACAAAAAGCACAAATATCTGCAGGTAAGGTTTTCTTCTTCAATCACACTATTATGCTTGGCCTTCACCTTGAGCTTGCTCTGTGGCCCAGTGGGTTAGGCCAGCAACCTTGTCTTAGTCGTTCAAGCAATTATAAAAACCTGGGCGGATTCCAATTGTATTTCTGAATGCCTTAGGAATCTGAAAACAAACCAGAAATTCTTAAACAACATAAAAATGGTGTTCTGTTGGTAGCTTCAAAATATTTACCTCTTCTGATTGCTTGAAATCAGTTTAGTTTAGGCCCCATACAGATTCACTCAGAACAAAATCTTCTTCTTTTCTCCCCATAACCTCAAGCCAACATTTTTGTCTCTTTTGTGGGTGGAAATGTTGCAGGGTGTGCAGTTTCATCCGGAGAGCATTATAACCGCAGAAGGAAAGATCATCGTTCAGAACTTTCTCAAGACGATAGAAGAGAACGAGGAGTCGAATCAACGAACTTGTGTTGCATTGCGATAGCTATATGCTGAAGTGAAGAAATGTAGTGGGAGGGAGGCACAGATTAGGGAAATGGCTGAGTCGTTGGAGAAGCTTTTTGTTGTTCTAGTTGATAGTGGACACCTATTTTTCGGTTTAGTTTAGAACTAGTTTTCTGTTTAGATCAATGAGACCTATGTTTAGATTGGTCTGGTTAGTGTTCAAAGCTAAGCTTTGCTCCAGCAACCAGAATAAATCAAAACATTCTTTCTGAGCCCAGTTGGAAAGAATTGATCATAATGATGATGGTGGATTGGATTTTTTGAAACTGAATTGCTGCGTTCCAGTTCAGAACGAACTGTCAATGGCAGCTGGTCTGGTGATGATAACAAAAATACCAGAGAGAGTGACTCTCAGCTTTGTAGTACTGATTCATGAGTTGCTGCAGTTTCCTGCCCCATTGCCTCAACTGGGCTCAAAAGGCAAATTGAAGCAACACATGATGATAGAGGTCCAAAAATGGGCCGAAAGGGAAGTGTCACATTATCCCTTTTTCCCCCCCCAACCACATGAATTTCCTCACACAATGAAATGGAATGAAGGAGCCCACTGCCTTTGGTAATCAAGTTGTGGCAGTGGCGCAATGATGCTGAGTTGGCCTTTGTTTCGCATGCAACTGCAAATCCAAATGCCACCCAATTTCTGTTCTATTCTTCTCCAGCTGTGACACACAATACCAGCCATTTTATTACTGCTCACTTTTTCATCCCTCTGGTGGAAAATTGCAAGGTTAATTTGGCTACAAAGTGATGGCAATTATTCATTCATGGGTAATTCTACTCGTATCTAAGTTAATCCGTTGATTAGAGACAGGGTAAGCATGAAGTACATATGAGTTTGAGTGTTTGTTGGGTGGGTTTGAGTAGGATCGATGTGAGGGTCGTTTCCATATATATAAATGTGATACGTTTAACTAGAGAGAAATTTTACAATGATATATAGTATTGGTGCTATAGGATTTTGCCTTTGTGGTACAACTAAAAATTGTACATTTACGTTATGGTACAACTTCATATTGTACTTATACTTTTTGTACAAATTCTTTTATGGTACAACTTGAACTTGTACCTTTATGTGATGATACAACTTCAAGTTGTAAAGTTGTACCATAACATAATGGTACAAATTGCTTTATGGTACAACCTAAACTTATACATTTAATGTTATGGTACAACTTTAAATTGTACATTAAAGCACCAATACTATATAGCATAGTAGAAGTGCTCTTAACTAGAATTAAAAACTGGACATCAGGACATGGTTGTAAAATTTTAAAATTCTAGATATTGTTAATTTAAGTAAATATTAAGTACTATAATATTATTTTCATCGATCTTTTTGGACTTGTTTGCAAAAACAAATTTAAGCTTAGGAATTAAATGGCAAAATTTAATCCTGTTAATTAGTTTGGTTAATGTTGAAATGATTATGGATGAAAATCTGAATCTATAAACTAAAACCCCCAACCTACAAAAATCAAAGTTTTGTGACTAATGTGCTTTTAAAAAGTCGGCAATGCTCATCTGGCTGGCTGGCTGGCTGGCTAGATTGATGGTACTGATCAACTCGCAAATCCATATCCATTAATTAATTAATTATCATATCCTGCTTTCTAATCAAAACAACCACCAATCCCCTATCCGTCAAATTAATGCAACATCTGACTTTAACACTCACTAATTAACCCTTTTATTGTACATTTTGTTTTTTGGTAGAAAACATGTATTTTTTAAAAATAGGTAGCATATATCAGAATTTGACAGCTCCACCATTTGTGACAATACACGCCAATATCAGAATTTGTTGATGATGAGTAACCTGGGGGTAGGAGTCCATGCTGGGATATGAAAATGAAAGAGGGAAAAGGGACGAAGGGTAGGAGCAAAGAGAGCTCAATGAAGGAGATTTCAACAACCGGTTCTTCACAATAATTCGAGTTGGTAGAAGATGTTTAACAGTAGATTTTATAGGGCTAAGATTAGATGATTAGGGGGTCTCTTGGTCACATAACTAACTAAATATCTGTCTTTTCACTTCATTAAAATTTAATGGTTCAGATTTATCTCATTTAATAAAGGGTAATGTGGTAATTGCATGAATTTTTTATTTTTAATTATTAAATAATTATATAATTACATTTTTTTCGTGTTGTGTTTTCGATCTCGTCGCCGGTGCTGGGTTTCGGGCGTCTCGTCGCCACCGCGGTTAGGGATTTTCTCCTCTGATGGTAGGGATGGCAATGGGTAGGGTCGGGTGCGGGTTTACCCTATACCAACTCCTAACCCGCCGGGTAGAGCCTTCTAAAATACCCGACCAAATAACCACCGGGTATGAAAATTATATAACCATACCCTACCCACCGGGTAACCACGGGTATTCGGGTAACCATGGGTACGAATCCTAAACTATGAACTTATACACATATATGCACATACATATTGTTGTCCATTAAAAATTCTCAATACTTCTAATTGTTCTAGCTTCAACAATCCACACAAATAAAAACAACAAAAACATAATAATTGTTCTTGCTTCTACAATCCACACAAACATAATAATCGTCTACATCTTCATCATCAATCATGGTAGCTAAACTAAATTTCTCAAGCTAAACTAAATTTCTCAAGGGAAATTAACCTTTTGGTTAGCGGGGCGGGTATTATCGATTATCATACCCGTACCCTACCCTTTATTTTGAAACCGGGTATTACCCGTACCCGCACCTTAACCTGTCAAAGCGGGTAATTACCCTCGTTGGATTGGATTGACATCCCTACCTGGTGGGTTTCCGGCAGCCAATCATTACCGGTGATGGGGTTTCTTTCCACCTTCTCCAGAGAGAGAGAGACAGAGAGAGATTTTCGATGGGGAATTTCCCGGCAACAGTTGTTGTCTTGTTATGTTTATTGAACTATTTTGTAATATTTGTAAGTATGGTTTGTAATTTTGTATCACTGCGGTTTGTATAGTTTATTATTATAGTTTGTATGTTTTCCCATTTTGTAAGTTTTTTTAATGTTTATCGGTCTAGTTTGTATTGTTTATATAATTCGTTTGTTTTGTATTGTTTGTAAATCTATTTGTATGTTTTGTCGCTCTAGTTTGTATTATTTGTATGGTTTGTACTGTTTGTAAGTCCGGTTTGTATACTTTTTAATTTTTCATAATACCCAAACTACCCTAGTCACTAATTAAAAAGTCATTCTCACTTTTTAATCGTCAGGTTTGTGTGTCCATATCTAAGGGCTGAGAGGGGCTTAACCAAGTGAGTGTTGACTAAGCACCTCCCCTTAGTCACCAGATCCTCCCTCATATCTTATATACATACTAACACGCCACTTTAAAAGAAAGTCACTGATTAAGATTTGAAGTTTGCACAAATCCAAATACCATGTGCTTAACAAATAGGACCGTGGAGATTCAAACACAAGATCTCTCGATCATAGAAACCAAACTAAGAAATAAAATTTCAAATTTTACAAGATGAATGATTTCTCATGGGAGATAAATAAATTGGGGGCAAAAAGGAACATGCTTGAAAATGGCCAACCTGCAAAATAGGACCATTTAGATACCCATGACCCAAATAATACAAGGCTGCCCTCCACCACCTTCTCCCTTTTGCCTATAAAGGAAATGATATTTAGGCTGCCCTCAATGTTCCATCAATGGTTTTGCCTATCTACATTTCTTTTAAATTGATTCCCATGTAGTAGTAGTTGACTTTAATTCATACTTCTATTAATTTGGTACCAGCAGAGCACCAAAGATAAGAGACAGGACAAAGGCAATAACTTTAATTCGGGTCGATGAATCCAATTGAGTTGCCAACTCATAATATCCAAAGATAATCGTTTTACTTTTCACCCATATTTATCTTATTTGGATCGAATCAGTTAAAATACAGTCCACTCAATATACGACAGAGTTCAAACAGAACGAAGCAACATAATCTCAGAAAATCAGAGGACAATGGTGAATGGCATTGCAACCATACGAGTTGGAGTAAAAGAGTCCAAACATGACGAAGCAAAAGAATTTTTTAGAAAATCACAGATTCTTTTTGGTACGAAATATTTTTATCACAGATACATAAAATTTCAGTGTCCTCTATTTGTCAATATTATCCAGCACCTAGCACTGCCAAAACACAATCAATAAAGTAAATACACAAGTGTGTATATGCATATCATTCATTTTGGCCTTTCACCATTTGGCACCATCTGTAGTTGTATTATTATCCAACTAACCCCATTTTCGACAACCCTTTTGCCTTCTCAACTTTATACATACAACCCCTCTCCTCCAAAACAAATTTCATACATATAAATGATATAATATAACAGAATCTAATTATTTTATTTTCAATAAAAATAATAATATCAGACAGACAACTCTGCAGCAGAGGAACCCAACATCTGCTTTCTGAACTAACTGTTTCCCCATCCTCAAAAGAATTATAGAGCATGTTGTGGAGACATGCTTCTGTTCCTCAGTTTGGTCTCTGCCAAACCTCATTTAACTCAGTAATAATAATAATAATAAATAACCCAGAACCCAACCCTCTAAATACATAGATTAATCAACCACTAAACCAAAAAGATTCTCCCTTCCCTTCATCCCAAGAAGATTACCATTTCTTTACATACAGAGCAACCTAACCCAATTAGCGATCAGGAAATACACATATATAATAATAAAAGCACAAAACTTTGGGAAATAAATAAACTAATAATGCTATAAACCTTTCTTTATTCATTCATCACAAGTCACAACCTCTCCCAACGGGCAAGAGAGTGTGTTGATGGGGATACATTGAAAAATGACAAACAATCATCACCATATTCAATTTCCCCACCAAACAAAAAGCCAATGCCACAGAAAATAAATTGGACCAACAGAAGATTAAAACTATGAATCTATACACATAACCCATATACTTTTATAATAATATGAAAAACCATGAATACACCCATCACTCCCTCACCACCACCACAAACCACTCTCTTAAGAATCTATGCTCTTTCTTTCATCTTTCTATTCACAAAATAACAATAGTATGAAGAACCAACAGAATCAAACACCAAAAATCCCCCCCTTCCCCACCACCACCCATCCACATTCATGCATGTACCACCAAGACATACATTCCATTATTCCATTCTGGGCAAAACATGCTTCATTGATTGCATTCTCACATAGAAATGGCCTCACCATTGACTGCTGCTGCTCGGTGGTTCCTCCGGTGCCTGTGGTGGCGGGGCCTACCTCCACCGAAAGTGACCGGATCGAACGACTTGAGCCGCTGTGTTTCTTGCGGGCTGATCACACATTCGGACAGTGGGGTCTTGTATCGAACACGGTCGTAGCAGTAGGAGTATGTCATGTACTTGGTCCTGAACCTGTCCATCTTGGTCCTCTGCGACCCTGAGATTGCTTCGGCTTTCGATAGCGTGGTGTAGGTGGCGTCGCACGTCGATGTGGAGTGATCTGTGGGGTCAGCGGCGCAGCCATGGAGGGCGAAGTCGGAGAACTCGGTTGTGTAAGGCGCGTAGTTGTAGTTCACCCTGTACTTCCCTCCGTTGGTGGCCCAGTCCGATCCATCCCATATCGTCGCGTATAGAGACATCGGTTTCGATGGGAAATCTCCACCCATTGTTGCGGTTCTTACCACTTCTCTGATCGGAACATCATCGACGTAGAATCTGCAGTAAGAGAAGCCATTTCATGAAAAAAAAATGTACTTCAAAGACTGGGCAGTGGTACTAGTTACTAACAGAAGAACTTTAACTTTCAATATCCCCCACCCCCCACAAAAATGCATACCATGTTCTGTATGTTGGACTGTTTTAACAAAAGCTTGCACAAAAGAGGATCTTGCGTGCAGTGCAGTCTAAATGTATAATTCAAAACTTGTAGACGGGTAACTTTCCTATTCCTTTTCTCAGGAAACAAACAGAAGACACGGAACTTATCAGACTTGCTAGTAACAGGAAATTTAATAGTTGATGAGTGTGTATGTTTGTGCTAGTTTCTTAACAATGAAAAAAATGGTAAAAAGTAAAACTTTTACCCCTTCTCCACTACACAATCAACATAACAAACCAAAGGAAAGTTGAAGATAATCATCATCATTAAAAACTCCATGAAAGCCAGTCATTAGGTGAGAAATTGAACACAGGACAACAGGCAAGGGCTCTCTCACATGATGTGGGAATCAGTCCAGAGAATGGCGTAGCGATGGAAGTCATCGGCAGGATCAAACCAAAGGCTGTATCTCTCTTCTCTGCCAAGGGCTGTGCTTCCATTCCCATAGATATTTGTTTGTATCCTCCAATCTTTACCCCTAATATTCCCCAAGAACTCAAAGTCAATCTCATCGTGGTTCTTCTCGTATGTATCGCCATTGGACATCTGTCATAAAACATAATCGGGCAAAAGGATTAGAATAGAATTCGTTATCAAAGTTTTCAAACCCCCTTTTCCGGTTTCTGTTAACAAAAGAAAAGAGACCAAATTTTTGCAATCCAAAAGGTCGGTTATAATCCTTGTCCGTTTCACGTTCAATCAAAACTGAAAACCCCCAAAAACCCTGCTGCAGAATCGGTTATAACAAGTCAATGGGATAGAGTAAATGGAGGAAAAGAGTGGCTGAGGAGGAAACTCACATAGAAAGCAACCACAACTCCAGCAGTGTAATCTGCAGGGAGCTTAATGGAAGCACTGAAGTAGCCGTGTAAGTAAAGGTCCTGCGAAACGAATCCAGACCCTGCTCCAACAAACCACACAGACGAATAAATAAAACTTCAGTCAGACAATAACACAAACACGATAGCTGCATAAGGGAAAACAGAGCAAAAAAACACACAAAACAGAAGAAGAAAAAAAGACCTGTTCTTTCATCAAGAGATAAGTGGACGGTATGCCCATCCCTGTGAACAACCAGATTGTCTTCCCCAAAGAGCTGGGTGTAGCCCTCATCAAAGGGGATAACAGGCAAGTTCCCATGGTGGAACCCAGATACAGAAACCAGAAGCAGAGTCAGGAAAAGGCCACAATAACCCACTACAGACTTCCCCATTTTCTTCACACCCCCTGTTTTTTTTTTTTCAATCAACCAATCGATGGTATGTATACAAAATACAAAGCTTCAAACTTTCAACCTTTCTTCGGTAACCCAGAACAAATTTCAAACGAAGAACAAAAAAGAAACCAAAAAAGTCTTTCCCTCCGCTCTCTGTATGGAGAAAAAAAAATATATGTATGTGTATAAATATGGCTCTGAGCAGAGAGAAGGAGGAGCCAAAACTAGAATGAAAAGAGAAAAGCAGAGTGAGAAAGAGATGTCAAGACTAAAGAGAGAGCCGTGTGCTGGAGGGACAATGAAAGATAGCTCTAGAGCTCTACAGAAAAGAGCTGAGAGAGAAGAAAACCAGAGGTGGAGAGGGAGGAAGGAGTAATCAAAAAGGCTAATGAGAAAGTGGGGAGGAGAGGAAGGAGTCCAGTTTTTAATGGGTAGAGTGAGAAAAAGGAGACTATGGGTGTTTTTTTTTGGGGAAGATAAAAATGAAAAAAGGAAAAAAATTGAAGAGAGAGAAGTGTGGTTGAGCTGTAAATGTTTATTGATTGATTTTGTGGAGCTTTGGGGACAGATTATTGATTTTCCGAGGTAAAAAGAAAATTAAATAAAAATCCCGATTTGTGGATCCATTGGCAAAAATTTCCCAACCTCCCACATTTATTAATTAATTGATTGTTATCCCTTTACGAGGTTATTTTTGGTGATTTTTGTAAATATTTTTGGTTTCGATATTGCCCAGAATGGAGACCGTTTGTTTCACCCATTTTCTCGTTCTGTGACCTGGGCCTAGCTGGGGTTTTCCTTGTACAGAAACAGAACCCAGATTTGTTCTCTGTTTGTTTATTGCCCAAATTTGTCTTCCCCATTTTACCAACTCCTGCCCAAAGATTTCTCCTTCTCTTTACATCGTTCTATGTGAAAAATAAAGTGTTGAGACTTGAGATCCAATAGGGTTCATCTCGATCCGCCAACCCCTTTATTTTTTGTTAGGGGGGTGTTTGTTTGATTTCAACAGGCTAGTCATCGAATTAGATGATAGGCGTCTCATACTCGATGGATCGTGAATAGAAGGGACGCTGAGTATACGTTTTGACGACTCCCAACTTATGTGACTACGTTTTCATATCCAGTGTTGTGAATATAGCAGTCGAATCGGTTTGATTTTGAAGGTGAAATTGTAAGAATTACTGTAATATTATAAACATAATTTTTTTAATTTTAAAGCATCATTGTATATCTCAAATAAAAATTGTATGGGGTGTCAAATATGACTAAAGCATTCAACATCATACTACTAGCATGTGTGATGACTCGATATTTGCACACGTTTTCCCCTTTGTTTCTTGATCGTTTAATCTTGCATTATCGCTTCTTTGGCCTATTTTACGCTAGGTTGTGTTCCTTTGTCACATTTCAGGTCCTAGCACATAAAGTGAAGCGTAGGCGCAAGTTTCAAGTCAATCGGAGATCAATTGGCGACTCGGGGGAAGAAACTCGGGTATGACTTGCAGAAGAATGGATTTCTACCTCAGTTTGTGACCATATAATCATGTAATCTTGTCGTGAGAAGAAAGAGGACGAGACTATGAGCGTCTGGGATCAAACAGCACCTGATTTGGAGTCCGAACGAGGGAGAAACGAAGAATCAAAGATAGGGGAAAATTGGTTTCGGGCTTCTCTGAGAAACAGAAGGGGGCCCTATCGGGTATTTTAGGTCACGAGCGGGGATTTTTGGTTCACGATAGGGGATTTTTGGGACGAACCAAAGAGAGAGAGGGCGATTTGAGGGCATTCTTGGAGTGGAATTGGAGGATTTCTTCGCCGTGGAAGCTCGAGGAACAAGTCCGGACTTGAAGACTGATCATCTGAAGATTCTTACTGCAGTCTCTCTCTTCTCTATGGAGTAACTTCCCTTCACTTAGGTTTTGAGGAACCCTAGCTATGTTTGTTTGATTGGATGATTGTATGAATACTCCTACTTGATAATCTTGACTTCATATTCAATCTATGCATGTTTTCATGATTCAATTCTGCTTTAGTCGAGATTATTGATTCTGCTTTGATCCTATGAGAGCGAATACCTGATTAGGTCAATAGAGCACCATAGATTGATAGTATTGGATCGATTGCTTTAGTCGAGGGTTGATTCAATGCTTTGTGTGGTGTTGTGGACTCTCTACCTGTCATGGACTCCTGTGTCATGTTTTGAAATAAAAGGTGCTCGAAAATGTGCTTTAAAATAACGTCTCCCGTGCGAATAGGGCGAAAGTGTGTAAGGGGAGACGGGAATCCGTTCCCAATTTCCACCTACTACCTCCAGCCCCCTTGCATTCGTTTTCCCCGCACGAGGCTCGAGACATTCGCTCCCGGCATGGCCGGTAAGAGCCGGGTTCCCGCAAAACCTTTGATAGGTGGGAGCCCCGTTTTCTGAAAATCGGGTTGGAACCCTTGAAAAAGAAACGAACAAAAAGAGAACAAAAGAAAATAAAAAAAGGGGTTCCAACCGTCTTCAAAAAGAAAATAAGAGCACCTTGAAAAATGTGAGTCCATGATCTTTTGTTTTTGAGAGTCTCTTCGTCCACGAGTCATTTGTCCTCTGATCACTATTTGCCATGATGCCGACTCGAGACTAGCGTTCTCGCCGAAGAAGCTATGAGATGACTTGTGCGTCGGTTGACCTCGTAAGCTGCTAAATGATCTAGAAAATACTCTATCAACGATCGAGGGTGCATGTTGCTATAGAGGTATGGAGAGCTGCATTGGATTGAGTTAGGTTTGCTTGGGGACAAGCAAACGGTTAAGTGTGGGGGGATTTGATGACTCGCTATTTGCACATGTTTTCCCCTTTGTTTCTTGATCGTTTAAGCTTACATTATCGCTTCTTTGGCCTATTTTATGCTAGGTTGTGTTCCTTTGTCACATTTCAGGTCCTAGCACATAAAGTGAAGCGTAGGCGCAAGTTTCAAGTCAATCGGAGATCAATTGGCGACTCGGGGGAAGAAACTCGGGTATGACTTGAAGAAGAATGGATTTCTACCTCAGTTGGTGACCATATAATCATGTAATCTTGTCATGAGAAGAAAGAGGACGAGACTACAAGCGTCTGGGATCAAACGGCACCTGATTTGGAGTCCTAACGAGGGAGAAACGAAGAATCAAAGATAGGGGAAAATTGGTTTCGGGCTTCTCTGAGAAACAGAAGGGGGCCCTATCGTGACGCTAAAATCCCCGCTCGTGACCTAAAATACCCGACAGGGGATTTTGACCGGGGATCGCGAACGCAAGCTGTTAAAAGCCTATTTTGTGCGTTTTTGCAAGGGAGAGCTGGGTTTTGGATCCCAAACACCCAAGGGACGAACCAAAGAGAGAGAGGGCGATTTGAGGGCATTCTTGGAGTGGAATTGGAGGATTTCTTCGCCTTGGAAGCTCGAGGAACAAGCCCGGACTTGAAGACTGATCATCTGAAGATTCTTACTGCAGTCTCTCTCTTCTCTATGGAGTAACTTCCCTTCACTTAGGTTTTGAGGAACCCTAGCTATGTTTGTTTGATTGGATGATTGTATGAATACTCCTACTTGATAATCTTGACTTCATATTCAATCTATGCATGTTTTCATGATTCAATTCTGCTTTAGTTGAGATTATTGATTCTGCTTTGATCCTATGAGAGCGAATACCTGATTAGGTCAATAGAGCACCATAGATTGATAGTATTGGATCGATTGCTTTAGTCGAGGGTTGATTCAATGCTTTGTATCGATTGAGAACCTCATTCAATAGAGGGAATCTAGTTCAGAACGCCTTGATCGGTTGTTCTAGAGAAGGATACGTCCCTATAGGCAATTGACTCAAGAGGGCCTTGTTCCTTTAGTCGAGACTCAAGGTCTAGTCAAGGATTCTCCGCATTGTGAATGAAAGTGAAACAAGTTAGAGATCATCAATCGTTAATCTGGCTAGTGGCTAGGGGGAATCATACCTAAGTGAGTTCCCAACCTGTAATTAGATTAACTTTAACTATAGTTTGCTAGAGTAGTTTTAGTTCTTTCATCTTAATCTGGTTTGCTAGGTAATGAACTGAAGCTGAGTAATAGTAACTCTAGAGACCCGTGGATTCGATATTTATTACTTGAGCCACTATACTGTAGTCCCTTTCATTGGTTCACTTGGCCATTATTAGGAGTTGTGTCATAGCGAGTCAATGTGTTATGAAAATACATAAAATACGAAATGCATGGGGCATTCGTATCAAAACAAAGGCTAGGGTTAGCATGTTAACAAATAATTTGTTAGCAATTCATAAAAAACAAATTGTTAACAAGGTGTTAACACTAACCTCAGCTAATAGAAAGCTTTTCTTATACGGAGTCTATATCTTAAAGGGATTGGCCACATTTAATTGTTGATTTTTAAAGAGGTACGCTTGTCATTTTGAAAAATTATAAGAGCAACACACATGTGGCGCTGCCCACTTATTTTGTGTTTCGTCCTTAGCTGGAGTGTCCCACCACAAGTATCATGAAGCATACTAGAACGGAGGAATTTTACAATGTTTTATATTGGTGTTTTAGCTTTTGCTTTTATGGTACAATTGTGTACATATAATTATTGTATAAATCCCTTAAGCATTTATGGTATAAACTAAAGTAGTACATTTATGTTATGGCACAACTTGAAGTTCTATCATAACAAAAATGTCTTAATTTTCTTATGGTACAACTTCAATTTGTATTTTTAATGCCATGGTACAATTTTAAGTTGTACTTTAAAGCATCAATACTTTAAATTATAGTAGAAAGCTATTGTGGAACTATATGGCTTCCCCCGCACAACCTGAAACCGATCAACTCGAGGATAAGTGGTATGTAATGACTTTGACAGAATACTACAAGGAGTATGCAGTAACTTCCATATTGTTTTGACAGAATACCGAGGTAGGATCTTACCATCCCGGCCTAGATGGGAGCCACTGCTTGACAAATGAAGCTGGAGCCCATCTCTACACTTCAATATTCGCTTTCATATCCAGGTTCCTGATGAATTAACTGAGAGATTGTAGGAAACTGGTAGGAAAGAATTGGATTGAAGACTAACTCTAACAGAGATCCCATATTGCTCTCTGCTTCAACATGTATTTCTTTACCCATGCAACACATAACGACCCAACTTTTGCTAACAGGTTCCATATATGTTGAATTACAAACGCTTTGTTCCATATTTTGAAATCCTCCTTCAATAATTGGTAATACAACTTTAGGTCATGCCACCAAAGTCTTCTTCCTCTTGTTAGGACCCCCAACTCCTTAAAGAAATTGATTACAGAGCATCTCAACCTCTTTAAGCACTTTCTCGAGTAGAAAAAATAACGCCATGCAGAATTGGATGATGCTGGTTATCACAAAAGAAACCAGTTGTAGTCTTCCAGCATAATTGAGCATACATAGATACATGCCTGCCATGATCCAATCCATGTTGTTATGCTATCCACCAGAGTTTTGATATCCATTGATGAGAGCTTGCTTGTAATTAATGGAACCCCGAGATACCATACACACAAGGGCCCCAAAGGAAAACCTACGTAATTTGAAATCATCTACTGCTATCTTCTAATATCCCCGTTATATGTCTTTAAAGATCATGCATTTGTGCTTCCACTACAAGAAAATAGGGATATAGAGACAATGGAAATGTGTCTCTATAAAGCATTTATTTGTCTCTGTAACCCTATAGATACACATAACAAATTTGTCTAAAGTAGTGCTGTTGCTATGGTCCTATAGAAACATATCTTATTTGTTGCTGAATTGAGATATTGCCACTAATATTTTAGTATCTAACATTTATTTCTAGTGACTATTATTTTGTGTATGTATCTAATTTTAACAACATAAATATCCGTCTCTAAATAATTTTTAGAGAACAAAATATTTTTCCTCTAATATCACTTAGAGAGACAAATCATTCTTTTTAGAGACACATATTTTTGCCTCAAATATTATCTGTAGAGGCAAATAATTTTGTTTGTGAGGCAATTTTTTGCCATTTTTTATATGAAAAATTGTTGAAATTGAATTTTATTGAGATAATCGAATGCACAAACCACTACATAAATATAACAAATCAATTATATATACCGGAGGTACAAATGGGTTTATATTACTGGAGAATTACAAATACAGCCACTCGAATAGATTCAGATATTAGCTTTCCCTTCCATAATAAATAAAACCCCTCAAAGGAACACAAGCAACAACCTACAGCTCTTGCCTATATCAGACTCCGCCTGAACAATCCTTTCTCTTGTTCTTTCTTGTTTGATTCTATACACAGATAATCTGCAGTATGACAAACATACACTAAACGTCATTGGTAACGAATTCAAATCAACAAAAAAAAAAAAACGATGAAAAACAGAAAACAATGACCTTAGAGAAGATTCCATGTCGATCTAATTGAAAGCATGGAGGGAGAGGGCCCATCGTAGAGGTTGAGACTCGAGAAGAGTCACCATAGGCATCACCGTTCCTCCTGTGTGTCATTCCAAGCTAGCAAAGAGTGAAGAGAGGGATGGCAAGTGATGAGTACTGGAATGCAATAACCAAATGGGAGAGATATCTTAGTAAGAACAAAGACTCACCATAGGCATCAAGCTCCAGAATGCGATGCGGCATAGACGGATTGGTGCGGCGGTGGAATGGAGGCTAGGAGCAAAAGATGGATTAGAAGTTAAAATGGAGCGTAGGGTTAGGGAGGGTGCAATCAATATAAATGAAATCTATTAAGAACAAAATTTTTATTTAGATTAAATAGAAATAAAAAGTCTTAAGTAATATTTTCCTTAACTAATATTTGTCTATATAAGTAGCATTATTTAAAACAAATCAAACATACATTTCACTTATAAAAAAAGTATTTTTTATATTTATTATTATTAATCTGTCTCTATAGCTAATAAGTTATGGAAACTATATTTTAATATCTAAGAATGTATTGTTTTTAGTTCCACACAGTAATCCTTATAGAAACAAATTTTATATGTGTTGTTAATGAGCTCCATTTGGAGACAAATAATCCCATATATAAAGACGGATTGTATATTTGTTGTATCAGTGTACTTTTAGAAACATATATTATATTTGTCTTGGTGATTTAGTCTCTATAGACCAATTTTCTTATAGCGTTCACAGATTATCTCTTAGTATTTACAAATGAATCTATTAAAGTGATGGCAAGCATCAAAAGACTTCTGGATCAGTTTTGTTGTGAGTCAGGTATTAGATGTAACTTAGCAAAGTGCCAGTTATTTGTTGAATATATTGCATGGAAACTTCTTTCCACAAATATTTATGAGGAACTAAAACTACCAAAGGACTCAATTACAAGACCAATCCACGTTATTAAGAAAATGTACTAAAATGGCATCGCGATTTGATAAAAATAAGGGATTGACAATGTATTCCACTTAAGTTATTTTGGATAAGTAATCACAAGGACTAAATTTAGAAAAGAAATTAAGTACAAACAGATAAACTCATCAAACCTATTTGATAAATACATTATATAGATTTTATTGTATTATATAGAATTTTATTTGTTAAAAGCATTTATGAGGAACTAAGAATACCAAAGAATTTATTACGTACTTAGACCAATTTAATTTATTATATGCTTAGCTATATTTCAACTAAATTGAATCCGTACTTTTACTTACAAGGTGGATAGGAGCAAATACGAATGACCATCAACCTGAGCATTCGTTATTGTTTTATCGTTCTGAGTTAGATAAACCATGGTGGAATCAGGTAATCATATTTTGTCCATTTTTGAACAAGTTAAATTTTGTCAATGTAAATGGTCATTAATTCCGAATTTTTGAATGAATATAGGTGTATGGGATCCATATCCACGTGAAGTGGGTGAGCTGCATCATCTTAGGCACCCTCTGGATCAAGAGACGTGGTTGTGCAAGGTGCCATTGATCTGCTGGCACATGGTGGAATGGCACCTACCCGATCGATCTCTGAGGCAATATCGAATGGAGCAACCAATTCCACAAGACCCGCCAGCCGGTTTCAGGGAGCTACATGCTATGGACCTCCGCCACACTGCAAAGAACTGGGTGCTAAAGCATGGATTCTACATCAACATCTGGGAGAATCGGTCCCAATGGGTGGTGCAAGGGATGCCGGAGACGAGACCGATGGGCTACCACGATGGGTACATGCAGTGGTATCGGAAGTTCACCATGAGATGGGTGTCAAAGCAAGGTGCTGTGATGGGGTCGTTGGTAAGTCATCCTAATCTCCCTCATTCAAAAATCTATTTATTTTAAGGTTTAGTTAATTTGATATGTGGCGTGCTTTCCTTAGGTTGATGGTTTGGACCGCGCCAAGTACACTCTCGAAAGTGCTCCAACCATGGATGAGCGGAAGACTACTTGGTTGACCCGACTTATGAACAACCTCCTGAGTTGTACCAGAGAGCAAAGGAGGGATGTCGTGGCCTATCCTCCCGTTCCTGCCCCGGCACGACCCTCATTCCGTGATGATGCACCCATTGTGGCCCCGA